AGAAAAAGGGAGTTTAGGTTTATTTGATAGGTTTTCACATGCAACACAGCATGAAAGGCCTGGACGATGTTTACTGTGTCAATGGACATTACATTCCTTCCCATCCTCAACACATCAAAAATGGCGACGTAGTTTATTTTATCGGAAAAACGAGAACTGTGCTAGTATTCTAGGGAATGTATGTGTGTCATAATCAAGGTTGGCAGGCGTTATCGGGTAAGGATTCAAAAACATACAAAGCGATGGCAGTGGAAAAAAGACGTTAAGTTCTTTTATTATGGGCTGCTTTAGAATATCTATATAATATCAGTGGTGTGAATTGTGGTAGGCGAAGAAAACAGTGGGAGATATATTAGAACTTGTATGCCTAAAGTGCAGATATTTTGATAAGAAGACTTACCCTCTAGTTGTAATATTTGTTTCCTTCATATTGAACAAAGCATATGTTCCTGCTGGATGGACTATAACAGCTTCAAAGCGTGCCTTAGCTTCGGGACTATCGATACAGGGGAACAGACTCCGCGCTTCTTGTGGTTGTAAATGTGTGGCCGTTTTAAACCTGCAGACTATAAAGACTCAAAGCACAACGTGAGTGATTCTAGAAAAGTAATCTCACCTATTTTCTGACCCGTGCTTATAGGGTGCAGTAAATATCCCAGCATATTTCGGATTGTTTATTTTTGAGTGGAACTCCAGCACAAGACTGTAATCACGTTCTGGTATGAGATCAGACAATGCGTAGATATCCAGAAGCTGTGGAAACTCTTCAGAGATCTGAAAGATAAATGTTAGACCGAGCAACTGCCGATACATCACTCACCTCATTGATAGGTATCTCTTTCAAGCCAAAGTACAGGCGTACAGTTGTCATATTCAGATTCTTTACATTCAACTGTATTCGCCTTGTGCTCCGCTGCACCTTGAACTCCATACGAGTCATCCCATCCAGTGTAAAATCTCGGGCACCAAACGTGATGCCACTGAAAATTTTTCTTATACAGTTATGATTAAAAATTTCTGTAATCCAGTGATATATAATTTGTCATCTTCCCAACCGAGAAACACATTGCTGGTTGAATAAGACTTTGCGCACACCGAATTGACGTAGAAATTCTTCTTTGGTAGCAAAACTGCTAATCACGGGGGAAGATGTGGGGAACTTATAGTAGATGTAAGGTCTAGCTTTGACAACCACGATAGTGTGGAGCAATGTGGAGACGCTGTCAACTTCATGCCAATAAGTTGCATGTACTCAATAGATGGTAACTATTACTTTCTAACTTTATCTTTTAGAATGACCATGGC